ACAGGGAAGATGAAGCTGGTGCAGGTGGGTGAGAAAAGGTATACTGAAGATAAAAGAAAAGGTTAAATGATGAAGCAAGGGCCCCGGGGGAGACAGAATGGATGGGGTCTAGCATACATATAGGATCAGTTGTGGATAGAAAAAAGCGTACCTCTTTAGCTGAGACAGGAGAGAAGGATATCTGCTGATGAAGTTAAGTTGTCCTGGCGGTCACTGTTACAAATTCACTTCTGAGAGTCTATTTCCTCTGAAAAAGCAAAACCAGCTGCTGAAAGTACAAGGTCAAAGACGGGATAGAAGGTTTAAACAGTGATAAAAATTAGAATAGTAGCTGTAGGTGGAAAAGGAAAAGAATGGCTGAGCTCTATTATGGACTGTGACATATCGTCATGATGATAATCGGTTTTGTAATTTTCAGTACTAGAACTTAATTATCTTTAAATATATGAGTTGAAAAAGCAAATGACTACACTGAACTAGAGCAGAGAGCAAAAGCAGAGAAAGACAAAAGGCAGGGAAATTTGAGTAAATAATGAACCAAGTAGTGTGGCTAGACAAGGAAGAAAGTTACTCTAGGTAGAGGCTGATGATGATAAAACAGTAGTCGAAGGACAGGGTCTTTATGAGGTCACAGATTAAATATAGAAAAATAAGGAAGAGGGAGAGATGAATAAACAGAAATATGAGAGGAGAATTCTAGAATTTAGGATTTTTAATATGGAATAGTCTTAGACATTAAGGTCCCATAGACAGTCATTTCAGGTGCTGGAACTGTGATGCACATGACTGCTTTAGTCCCACCATGGTCTTGTAGGACTTGAGTAATGAAAACTGAGTTGGGTGCTAAATTCTTTTTAAAAAGTGAGGGAGTGACCAGGGAGCTGATAAATGATGAAGAGGAAGGTAAACAGTAATTACACAAGGGTTTCCATTATGTTCTAGAAGGGTAGGATGGAGTGCCTAGCAATGGCAATGAGGAGATGGAACATATCAATGCCCCCTGTGGTATGTGGGGCATGACTTCCAATGTGGTGAGCTGCTGGGAAAGCAGTGGCCTTATGGGAGAGTCAGGCTCCAAATATCAGGAGGAAGAATGTTATGCAAGAAGAAGGGGATAAAGAGGAGTTTATTTATATCACGTATGGGGAGTCCAGAGAAAGAGTTAATGTCTCTGGAAGAAGGCTGATGATCAAGAGATGGAGAAACTGTGGGGATAAGGCTATGAAAAATTATCAGTGTGGTTACCACGTATGACAGAAACTAGAAGTAGAATGGGATTTACTGATCTCCGATCTTAAATGAAACTCTCATAATACTCTTTGAGTATCAAGCTGCCCAAAACACTAGGACTTTATTTGGTTGCTGAGGTTAAACAACAGTGTTAGTTTTGGTGACTATATTATTAAAAAGTAAAAAGAATTTCAAAAAACCCAGGCAATCAATGAAACTCGGAATAAAATTAATGATGTTTACACTCATCTGTCATTAATATGGACATTCAGAAAATAAAATTAAAGCTTAAAATCTCATAAGAAACTCACAAATTTCAAAGGAGAACTAAAGGATATCGCTAGAAGCATGAAAGAGATAGTTTGGAACATAAGGCAGTATTTTGACCTCTAGATAGTATGTTTATAGAATACTGCTTGAAAATACAAATCCATTCTGAATATTTACATTACACAGTGAGGTCCCAGCTTAAATTCACTCAATGTTTGGCAAGAATCAATATGATAGTACTCCACTCCCAATTTCAGGATTCAGGGACTTTGTCCCCCCACCCCCATACATACAGCTGTCCTTCTCACAGCAGACCCTCTGGTTTTGTGACAGAAAAGCTCTGAAAAATGGGCAAATGGGTGGAGGAAGACATAGTGGTGTTGGATTGAGGATCCAAATTATTTTGAATACAAATATAGTGGGATGAGGGATAAAAATCCTCAGTGTGATTACTTTGTCACAACATATATAATACCTATTAGGATTCATATAGCAATGAACAGAATTTTACTTGGGGAAAAAAAACAACTAGATCCAAAGTGTAATCACCAGGAACTGATCTTCTAACAGAGGGAAATTTCTCAAAGAAAAAAACAATAAGACAGAGAACTTAATAAAAGAGTATTCCAATCGGATCAAATAAAGAGAGCATTTCTGAAAAACTCATGTTAAAATCCTGTGTAATTTAAAGGGGCAATTGCACATTTAAAAAAATTTTTTTAAAGTTTATTTATTTTAGAGAGGTGGGGAGGGGCAAAGGGAGAGGGAGAGAGAGAATCTCAAGCAGACTCCCCGTTGAGCGTACAGAGCCCGACTTGGGGCTTGATATCACCACTCTGAGATCATGACCTGAGATGAAATCAAGAGTTGGATGCTTAATCAACTGAACCACCCAGGTGCCCCATTTTTAAACTCTTTTCCAAATCAATCCCAATTAGAGTATCTCTTGTCTGTAGCCATATATCTTTTCTTTCTTTAAAAACAAAAAACAACAACAAAAACCAAAACAAGTTTGGGAAGAGAGATCATTGGAAGATGAAAGTAAATCTATACCTCCAGATAAGAAAATTGCTATTTTAGAGTTATTGCAACTAGTTTGTTTAGAGGCTCTTCAGTTTACAAGTACTTTCCTATTTCACTGTCACGTTTCACCATCCTCCCAGGTAGGAGGTAGAACCGGGAATACTACGATCACCCAGACTATTCAGATGCCAAAACTGCAACTCACCAAGTTAAAGGACTGTAGGGATATTTGAAGTGGTGTCATCTTCTGGGGCTCACAATATGGAAGGTAACCATGCTTTTTTTTTTTTAATTTTTTTTTTAAAGATTTATTTATTTGACAGAGACACAGCGAGAGAGGGAACACAAGCAGGGGGAGCGGGAGAGGGAGAAGCAGGCTTCCTGCGGAGCAAGGAGCCTGATGCGGGGCTCAAGCCCAGGACCCTGGGATCATGACCTGAGCTGAAGGCAGACGCTTAACGACTGAGCCACCCAGGCGCCCCGTAACCATGCTTTTTGACAAAACAGTCCACAGCACTGCCTGGCAGCACTCAAAATGACATTTTATTCTGGAAACAAGTAATATAATAAACTAAGTTCCTTCCTCCCATTTACCCTCTACAGCTGGACTTACAAAATCAAATGCCAGGCCGGTTGATATACCTAAGAAAAACGTGTCCCAAATAAAAAAAAATGATAAAATAATAAAGTCAATCAACTCTAAGTCTCAGTGCTTCGGAGGCTAAAGGGAGATGGGAAACTGGAGAGGCTTACTCTTTATAGAAAAAACAGCTGCAAATCACTTACTATTGCCATGTACAGATCTGGTTTCCTAAATCTGATTTTTCAAGAAATCTAGATTTTCATGTGAAAGCTCCGGACCTTTAAATGACAGCAACTTAAAAAAAGAAAAAAAAAGAACTGAAGCAAAACACTTGGGCAAGTGAGATTTGGATGACCAATCTGAGTAAGATATCTGCTGGACTGATACGATTTTCCTTTAAACTTGAAAATATTTAGGGTTGGTTGTTTTTTTAGCTCTTTAAACTACAAACTGTCCAATATTAGACCTCAAATCCTACACTACCTCACTTTAGCCTGTTCATTATTCGGGCCTACATACTTTATGACATATATGAAAGTGTAGTTATAACAGTATATCTCAGTAAATACATACTGTATGTATTTTTAAAAACAGTACCCCTGTTGGGGCGCCTGGGTGGTTAAGTCCGTTAAGCTTCCCACTCTTGATGATCTCTCTGGTCATGATCTCAGGGTCCTGAGATGGAGCCCTGCATCAGGCTCCCAGCTCAGCAGAGGGTTGGCTTGAGATGTTCCCTTCCATCTCCTTCTGTCCCTCCCCCAACCCCTCTCTAAAATAAATGAATAAATCTTAAAAAAAAAAAACAACACACAAAAAACAAAAACAGTACCCCTGTGTGATAATTATTCCAGAAATTAAGTGAATTTAAGGAACAGCACAGATTACATATTATTTGCACCTGCACTCCTATTCTATTTAGCTTATAACATTGCTATTTACTCAAGTATTGCTTGACTTTGTCCTTCTTTCACCACTAACATTGTTCCTAAATTCCCATAGCAGAAGAGCCGCAGAAATTCAAGATGGGAGACCCGGCAAGGATTTTACTCAGAATAACAACATGGCCAAATGATTTCGAGGCTCGGACACATTTAGCGATATGCAGTTACCTCAGATGAGAGAGCGAGCAGAACTTCCGAGTTCTATTTCTACGTATGCCACGATGTACCAACGTATGCTGGAACATTATTTTTGCTGCAGTTTCTTCACTTCCACATCTCCCCTTTCCCAAATATACAAGGCTGTCAGAAGTCTGAACCCCCTTCTAAGATTCCCTGGAGTCCAAGCGCCAAGCACAAAGCCTGGCGCAGGGAGCCGCTAGAAAACATCTGCCGAATATCTGAATGAATGAAAGCCTCCCTCACACCGCAGAGCTGCTTTCCTTACTAGCAAGTTTCCTAACTTCATGCCCGCCAGTTTCCCAGGACAAGTTTCAAAACAGAACATTTTCACTTAACTCATTATTTTAACTCGGGGTGAGTCACTGGGAAAAGAAATGTAAGCTGTTGCGTTGATGAAGCAAAGATGACACGACACGAGTGAGCATGTCCTGCGTGCCCTACTTCAAGGCTTTTAAGAGTATTAAATTGGTTGCACTCGTACCAAGCGCCGGAAAGAAAAAGAACCCCTGGCATCTTTAGGACGCCCCTTGGGATGCCACCCCCAAAGCACCCGAAATCAAAGAAGCCCTCTACTCCCGGCGCGGCCGAAGCGGCGTGTCGCGCGGGCGCCCGGAGCGCCACCTTCCCCGCCGCCCGCCCCACACGCCGCCCAAGACCACAGGGCGCACCTGGACCGCGGACAGCGGGCTCGCGAGCGTGTCCTCCGGGACGCCTGCCACTCCGGTTGTCGCCGCGGGCCCGCGTCCGCCGGGGAGCTCACGGCCGGTACTCACCCGTTGGGGATACTATTCTTCTTCACCATGACGCGAGAGGTGCGGGGCTTCCGCGCGCCAGGACACCGCGCTCCCAGCTCTCTCCCTCGGGCAGCTGCGGCCACTGAGGCACACACCCAGACCGCAGGTGATCAGAGCCAGCGCTCCTGCAGGCGCTACAGGCCCAGGCCAGGGCGGGAGTGACAGGCTCCGACGCCTCAATTCTAGTCAGAAGCCCAAGCAACGGGTGAACAGACGTAGCGCACCGAAGATTCCCGAAGGCGCACGCTCTGCGCTCTCCGGGGACCCAGCCGGCTCAGGGGCCGCACCGCGCATGCTCCCGGACGGCCTTGACGTCAATCCCCGAGGAGGGAGCGCTAGGCGGGCGGCGGGCTGTGACCGCGGTCGTGAGGATCCTTGCGGGGCGGTTAGTGACCTCTCAGAGTCCGCGGTAAATGGTGCGTCCTGCCTTAGCTGTTCATAAGTAGCAAGAGTGCCCTGTCCATCCAGGTGAATGTCATACTGCCTGTTAAAGCCCCCTGACCCTTCCCTGTCAGACACCCCGGTATCTTGGCTGGTTGGAGCCCTGCTCTGTGGACTAAAACTAGCGGCGGCCCCCTGGAACCAGACACAAACCCGCACAGGCCGCTGGGACTTGTAGTCCCCAGAACCTGGCCGACCCGTCCGTCATTCCCTTGGGAAATTAAGTGGGTTGAGAACTCCATTTTGCAGCATTCGAGAGTAGTGCTTGATTTGCATCAAATCCAAGACCATGTTATTTATTGAGTGCCTATTTTGTGCTGAACATCTTGCTAGGATTGGTGGAGGATAGATGAGTTTGGATCCCAGCTCTCGTCCTCTCTTTAGGGTAGGCAAAAAGATGAACTTGCAGAGTAGGATGTAATGAACAAAAATAATGCTTTTGGAGGTCACAGAAGGGCCAGAGTCAGGGGAAAAAAAAAAAAAAAATCCCGGAAGATGTGGGATTTGAATCAGGCTTTGAGACGTGGAATGCTCTAGGTTAGAGGAAAGTTGCAAAAATCCAAGGATGGATGTGGCAGGGAATATAAAGAAGGTTGATCAGGCTATAGGCAAAGGTTTATGTTGGAGAGTAGTGAGCAGGGCTTAGGTGGGAGAGTAGACACGGCGGTCTTTTGGCCTGACTTTTCAGGAAGGGCCTCGTTTTGACTTTCTCTCCAGTTGAGACTCTAAGTACAGGCACTGAGATACGTCAGGTTTAAATAAAAGGCAACATCACAGGACTTACCTGTGTCCAGTTTCTGGACATAATGGCCTGTGTTGCTCTATGAATTAATACATTTTTATAAATCCTGTAATTAACTTGAGAGTGGCAAAATTACATTACATCGTGTGTGTGTGTGTTAGATATAACCTTTCAAAATATACCACAGTTTTTGTAACCTGTTTTGGCATTAATCGATCTCTATGTACCTAAGCTCTCAAGGGAAGTGAACCCAAATCTTTCTTGACCCATAAGAGCAGGTTATGGTGATTTGGGGGCTTAGTCCTGTGTGCAGTGGATGATTTCGTTTTGATGCCTTTTGAAGACTTATATATAAATTCACAGAAAATCCTAAGAGCAGGTTATGGTGATTTGGGGGCTTAGTCCTGTTTGCAGTGGATGATTTCGTTTTGATGCCTTTTGAAGACTTATATATAAATTCACAGAAAATCCTTTGTCAGGCCACTGTTTGTAGTTTTTTTATTTTAGTATATGTGCTGCCGAAGCGAGCACAGTAGTTTTTTTTTATTTTAGAAAATAAGATTATAGTTAACTAAAAGGTATTCATTTTCAAATTTGTCAGGTAATGAAACACCTGGAAGTAATCATGCTCTCTGGAAAACATTGTGAAATAATGCTATTATATTTACCTAATTGTAGAATTTCTTTTTGTTAAATTCCACCTTTTCCATACCTTAGAACCAGTATATTTGCCATATATTTAATAAATTTTGATTTTGGCAAAATGCTATCCATTGCCTTAATTTTCTCATAACTTTGAGTGAGACTTTAAGTTTTTTGTACAACATCACAATGCAAATCAAAGAAGTGTGGAAAAGCATGACTTAAGAAACACTGCTATAAGGGAGTTCAGAAGGAACTGATCATACTGTGTGGCAATAGATGAACTAAAATAAAGTTGGATTTGGACCTGAATTCAGTTCCGCTAAGGAAGGAAGGTGGATTAATACATTTGGAAAGATTTCCAAGAGCTGGGAGAAAACGAAAAGAGAAACAAATTCCTAGTTAGTTCATAATTAACCAAAGAAATATTACTAGATATCAGAATATGCATGTTGTGACCATTCCATATGTTAGAGATTTTTCTGTAATTTTATTCTGCTAACACTCCTGAAACCAAATGGCATATGACAGAAGTAATCAAGGTAATTTAATGTTAAATTTACACACAACATAAAATTTAATTTCAGGAATCACCATAGTGATAAAGGCACAACTGGATAAATTTGCAGAACCTAGAGATTTCTAAATGCTACGCAAGAGGCAAACATTTATACACATAAACTGCCTTCTGTTTGCTGTGAATCAGAAAAGGCTGAATGAAGTACTTGACTTTAATTCTCAGGTTTTGACTATGGACCTCCAGGTCATCTGATACAAAAATAGCTAATCCTCAATTTCCTTACCCTTTAGAAAGAGCTTTAACTGCAAGAATTGCAAATTAGCAATAGCCTTGAAGAGAAGATTGGGTTTAACTGTTGGATCGAGTTTTTCAATAAAGAGAGTTGAATTCTGTAAGAAGGTAAAAGTCTGAGTCACAATTTTTCCTTACTTCTGCAAGATTTTCAAAAAAGCAAATGCAATTTTCTTCCAGATCTTCAATTTTATTTATTATTTTGTTTTATTATTTTGTCTATAATCATTTATTTATCTTATATCATTTATGGAATGATAAATGAACCAGGTTAGAAACATCTCCAGATCTACAAAACAGTACCTTGTTAAAAATTTTTTAAATTTATTATAATTTAACTATCTATGGGATGTGCTGTCACTAAAGTTTCCCCTAGTGTAGCAGATAAAATTTTAGATGTACATATCAGCAAGCTAGGTATTGATTTGAAGGTTATTTTAGATGTTCTTACAGAATGCAAAATAAATTAAAAATTCTCTTTTCCTGGCATTATATTCCTGTTGTGCCTAATTTTGGTATGTTAATAGGAAGAATCTTAAAGATATTTTAAAGAGTCTTAAATCAACTTCCTAAATGTCTGTTTACTGATTAAACAAAGAATTTAGTTAACTTAGACCTGATTTTCTTCTGTTTTCTGTTCTCTTCTATTACAGTATTTTTAATCATCTTCCGGATCTCTCACCTGAATGTCCCATAAAGATCCATTAGCAACATCCAAAAACTGAACTTATTGATCCCTACCGCAACTACATTCCTACTTTGACAATACTTGAAATGACGCTACTTCTCAGTGACTCAAACCAAAAACCTGGTTTGGTTCTTCCCTCACTTTGTCTTCTCCATGTAATTGCTCATGAAATCTTGTGATTTTTATCTTTTAAATGAAGCTCTTTCCACTCTCCATTCCCACTTCCGTTTTTGATTCAGATCTCTAGCATCTCTCTTTGGGACTATTATAATGGCCTCCTAACCAGTCTTCCTGCCTCTGGTATATATCTCCATGTTTAATGAGATATTTTTTCTCACTAAAGTTTTATAGTTCTCAGAGAGTTTCCACATATTTTAGCTGAAGTTATTCCTAAGTATTTTGAAAATGTTTTTGTTGTATTGCTATTATGAAAGTGATCTTTCTCTATTATATTAACATATAGGGAAGCTATTAGCTTTGACATATATTCCTCTTGTATTCTGCCACCTAACTTTCTAACTGTGTCTAAACTTTTTGATTGAGTGTCTTGGCTTTTCTATGTATAAAAACCTATCCTCTACAAACAATGATAACTTTGTCTTCTCTTTTCTAATAATTATACTTCTTATTTCTTTGATGTGTCTTATTACATTAACTGGAATTTTTACTATATACTAAAGGTGATAGCGTATTTCTTTGTTTAATTTCTAGTTAAATTTTAAAAATTAAGTAGCATACCTTTAAGTATAACACCATACTTTCAGTAATATATCATCCTTAAGACTATTTCTTATTTATTTAGGAAGTAGAAATGAAAGAACCATCATGAAAAAGATCTCAAAGAGAAAAGAAGATATGAAAAAAAAGGTAAGGTATTAATGGAGATTATAAGGATCTTGATTATACTAATAGCCCAATTATAAATATAGGATAGTCCTGAACAATGTGATATATTTGGTTCTATATTCATATCACATAGTTCGCATGTTAAAAAAAATAATAAACTTAAGAATGAATTACACTCTTTGGTGTGTTAGTTATGCCATAGTATTAGAGGTGAGTTATTTATTTATTCCCTTATATAAATATTAATTCATTTACCTGTTCTCTCAGCCAGCGGTCCATTTTCTGCTTTGCTCCAAAAAAAAAAAAAAGTTTTTCTTTTTTTTAGTGACTAAGTAAAACATATATAGGACCAATATCTACAGGTCTTTTAGAGTAACTCTAGTTAATATTCATATTTTATCCCTTCTAGAGGGATGGGAAGTTATGAAGAAGTGTGCAGAATCCTGGGAATGCTGGTTGAGATTATTGGAAACTAAAGGGAGACCTCTATCAATCACTTACTGTCCCTTGGTCCAGAATAGAATTAGGTATTTTTAATTGTGTTGAGGAAGATGCTGAACATCTTAGTTTATGTTCTTAATAGTTCTTAAGTGTGATACAGTAAGCACTGGTGGATTTTGAAGTTCTTTCAGGAAATCTGTAGATGAGACTCTTATTGTGATAATGTCTTTTACTTTAGTTGTTAGTTAAGGAGTCTTTTGCTATTGTATTTAAACTTAAAATGAAAAACAAACTCATAATCTATATTGTTCTAAAAACAGACTTGACATTGCTAGTATGGTTTAATTTCAGAATATTGAAGCTTAAAAAACTTAAAAGGAAGTTTGAACATATCGAGTTTTTTTATAATGGTAGGATATTCAATTAGAAATACCAATAGGCAACTAGAAATATGGTATTCAGGATAGCAGTCAAGGTTGGAAGCCTTGGAAGCAAGATTTGGGAAGCCCTGGTAATACATCCACTCTCCAAAGCCTTGGAATGTGCCTGCATGTAAGCTATGAAGAGAAGTGTGACCATTGAAGAACACAGGGAATAAGTGGCCAGAGAAGTAGAAGAGCACTGAGCAATGATATAGAAAGTTTTCAGAAAATAAAGGTACCCAACATTATCAGATGCTACGGAGTAATCAAGTAGTAGTTAACATGGATAGAGTGTTGAGCTTCAAAGTATTTTCATATGTCTGGTCTTATTTGGCCCTCCTAAAAGATGTGTAAAGTTGACAGTATACCAACACTAACAACTAACCATTGGATTTTATCATTAAAAGGTCCTTTTTGATATTACAGAGAGAAATTTCTTAATTTAAAAATTCACTGTAT